AGTGTAATTATAACTTTTGCAAATATTTATAATGCATATTTTTATGCAATAGTTAGCATGTTGGTCACGCATTTTAAATGTTAAAAGTAATATATATATATATATATATATATATAACAGGAATATAAATATAAAGTATTGTTGAAGAAATTAATTGAAAAAAGTGGTTTTTAAAACAGGAAACTCATTTTTTAAATTAATTTTTTTTAAATAATTGAGATAGAGTTGGGCATCAATTGGGTCAAGTTGGGGGGAAATTATTCAATGTTTTCGGAATATTACGTGCCCATACTCCTTAACTAATTATTATTTAATATGTCTCTTATGTTTTCAATCACCTAACATAATACTCCACATATTCACCTTATCCACTAATCACAATGTTATGGAATTCCACGTATTTATACTCTAAGGGTGTGTTTGATTGGACGGACTGGATAAAGAGAGATTAGAATCCATCGGACTTGAGTCCTGGGACTGCAAATCTCTCGGACTATTTGGTTGGATTGGATATGTATTTGTTTTTTCATGGGATTAGATGTCTGAAAATGACTATTTCTAGTGAATCCAACATTTGGTTGGACGGACTGGATAGCATAAATGAACAAAAGACTATTTTACCCTTTTCCAATTGTTTACTAAGTAATAACAATATTAAACACATCTTTAATATTTTAATTATTTTACTTTTTACACAATCAAATAAATTTATTTTTTTTAAATTAAATAAATAAAATATCAATAAAAATATATATTATTTTTTTAATTAAAATTTTAAATAAATTTGTTTTTAAAAATAATAATAATTAAACAATGAAATTAAATAAAACATCTATTAAATTTAAATAATGAAATTAAATAAAATAAAATATAAACAAAATTTTAAAATAAAACATCAATAAAATATCTATAAAAAATTATTTTAAAAAAATTAAATAAATAAAACATCAATAAAAAGTTAAATAAAATTATTTTATTTTTAAATTGAGACATTTAAATTTTATTGAATTTTATTAAATATAATACATAATTAAATAGGAGATGGTCAAAATGGTCATTTTACCACCTAATCCCAACAGTGAATAGTCTCCCAAAAATTGTCCCATACCCCCCCTAGGATACGATAGTCCCTCATATGGGGACATGGAGTCCGGGCGGACTCCATATGCGGCGGACTAAAAAAAAAACAAACGGCGGATTGGATGCTTTCTCCGGATTACAATCCGCACAGTAAATAGTCCCCCTCTTATGTGTGTTTGATTGGGGGGAAAAGATGGGAGACTATTTACTGTGCGAATTGTAATCCGGAGGAAGCATTCAATCCGCCGTTTGTTTTTTTTTTAGTCCGCCGGACATGGGCCAGACTTCTTATCTCCCATATGGCGACTATTGTATCCTGGGGGGTATGGGACAATTTTTGGGAGACTATTCTGTTGGGATTAGGTGGTAAAATGACATTTTGACCATCTATTCTTTAATTATGTATTATATTTAATAAAATTTAATAAAACTTAAATGTCTCAATTTAAAAATAAAATAATTTTATTTAAATTTATTGATGTTTTGTTTATTTAATTTTTTTAAAATAATTTTTTATAGATATTTTATTGATGTTTTATTTTAAAATTTCTTTATATTTTATTTAATTGCATTATTTAAATTTAATAGATGTTTTATTTAATTTCATTGTTTAATTATTATTATTTTAAAAAAAATTATTTAAAATTTTAATTAAAAAAAAACATATATTTTATTGATATATTTATTTAATTTTAAAAAATAAATTTATTTGATTGTGTAAATAAATAAAATAAAATAAATTGTTATTTAATCTAGCTAAAAATAATTAAAATATTAAAGATGTGTTTATATTGTTATTACTTAGTAAACAATTGAAAAAGGTAAAATAGTCCTTTATTCATTTATCCTATCCAGTCCGTCCAACCAAACGTTGGATTCACTAAAATAGTCATTTCCAGACATCTAATCCCATGAAAAAAAACACAAAATATATATCCAATCCAACCAAATAGTCGGGGGATTCACAGTCCTAGGACTCAAGTTCGATGGATTCTAATCTCCCCTTATGCAGTCCGTCCAATCAAAGAATCCATCGGACTTGAATCATGGGATTGAATTCCTCGGACTTATTTGGTCGGATTGGATATGTATCCTGTGTTTGTTTTTTCATGGGATTAGATGTCTGGATAGGACTATTTTCAGTGAATCCAACGTTTGGTTGGACGGACTGGATAGGATAAATGAACAAAAGACTATTTTACCATTTTTCAATTGTTTACTAAGTAATAGCAATATTAAACATATCTTTAATATTTTAATTATTTTTAGCTAGATTAAATAAAAATTTATTTTATTTTATCTTTTACACAATTAAATAAATTTATTTTTTTTAAAAATAAATAAATAAATAAATAAAAAGGGTAAAATTTGATTACTGTGTAACCGTTACTGTGTAACCATTACTAAAGGGTAAAATTTGATTACTGTGTAAGCATTACTGTGTTAAAATTTTTTACACCATTATACTGTTTTAAAATTTTACACAATGATTTATTAAATAAATTTGTTTTAATAAAATATAGAGGACATTATTTTTTTTTATATTATTTAATAAATCATTAAAATTTCATTTAATACTGTATAACCTGTATAAAAAATTTATATTATTTTTTTTAATTAAAATATTAAATAAATTTTAAATAAAACACCTATTAAAATTTAAATAATGAAATTAAATAATTAGAAACAAAATCTTAAAATAAAACATCAATAAAATATCTATAAAAAATTATTTTAAAATATTAAATAAATAAAACATCAATAAAAAGTTTAAAAAAATTATTTTATTTTTAAATTGAGACATTTAAATTTTATTGAATTTTACTAAATGTAATACATAATTAAATAGTAGAGGGTCAAAATGGTCATTTTATCACTTAATCTCAACAGTGGATAGTCCTCCGAAAATTATCTCATACCCCCACCAGGATACAATAGTCCCTCATATGAGGGATAAAGGAGTCCGGCAGATTAAAAAAAAACAAACGCTGGATAAAGAGCCTCTTTCGGATTACAATCACAATAATGAATATTCCCCCCCTCTTATCCCCTAATCAAATACACCAAGATTACTGAATAATTACCCGAAATTTGGCTGGTTAAGGTAAGAAAAAATAAAAAAATCTTGCACTTAAGTTTAACTTTTAACTTGGCCGGACATCAAGTCTAAAAACTTGATCTAAAATCCAACTCTAAAATGATGTCAAAATCTAAAGTTCATCCAACAAATATTTTAATAAAAAGTAGGATAAATTATAAATATACTCTCCGAGTTTTGTTTAAAATACAAATTATCTCTTGTGATTTGAAAAATTACATTATACCATTTCAAATTTTTAACCGAATAACAAATGATATATTTTATTAATAAATTATTAAATTTTTATGATGTCAAAATTATATTTTAATTAAAAATTCTTATAATTTTATTATTATATAGGAGAGTAGTTAAAACTTTCATTCTTTTAATTCCGTTATATTAAAATTCTAACAATGTTTTTTTCTTCTCAAATATATATTTTTATTAAACAAATAAAATAATATAAGATAAATTATATAGAATAATATATACACTACACCATTAATCTCTTTGGTTTTTGTGAATTTCACCTTGATCCTTAGAGTTACAATTATTAATTTAAGGCTTATTTTGGGGAGATAGAAATAAGCAATTCTAATTATATATTGATATGATGTTTTTATCAGCCGCTGTTAGCATTTTAAACAAAAAAAAAAAAAAAAAAAATGCCCATGGACCCATCACTATGACTAGAAAATAAGTAATTTATATCTATACTCTTTATAATTTATTCAAAATTTCATTTATTTCCTTTATTCCCATGTGTCATCTTTATGTCAAAATTTAACCCGTCCAACAATCCTTTGGCGGCCTTCTCCGTGACACTTCAACATCCAATTATTGTGGCCATCTCCAACCAACCACTCCATTTTTTACTCTCTATTACTGATTATCGCTTCTTGCAATTTACCAAATATATTTATTTATTTTTATTTTTAAAAATAATTTTATACACCAAATAAATTTAATTTTCTTCTAATAAAAAATTTATTTCTGATTTTTTTTTAAATTAAATAAATAATCTTACCAAACCAAAGTGATACTTCAACCTATTTCAATGAGTCATGCTACACAATCAATAGTGGGTTGGGATCGTATGTCTGTTGGAAGGTGTTGTCTCCGCTCTTCGTCTCAATCCTTATGTGCCTATAATTTAAGGTCATGTTTGATTGGGTGAATTAGAGTATGAGATTATGATTATTAATTTATGGGTCCAATTATTCTATGTTTGTTTTAACATTTTGGTGGGCCCAATTATTCTATGCTTGTTTTAACATTTTGGTTTAGGATTATTAATCCAATGGATAATTAATCCAACAAATTTGTAGGATTATTAATAATGGGATAGGGGTGAGATTATTAATCCAATGGATATTAATCCAATTGGATAGTGAATACCATACTAATTTAATAGAATTATTAATACTTCACTATTAATCTTGTGAATCAAACATGACCCAAAAGAATAAAAGGAAAAATTATAACCAAAATAAATAAATAAAATCAAAGTGTGATGCTTGTAATGAAATAAATTTTAAATTTTAACTTCATTAATTAAAATTCTAATTTTTTTTATTTGTTTTTAATATAAATAATTTACTTATTTTCATTAAATAAAATTAAAAGAAAAATTAGTATTTTAATTATTAAACTCAATAAAAAAATAATCTTTTAAACATTTTATATATATTTAAATTTAATGATTAAAATATTATTTTTATGTAGATTTTATTTAATAAAAATAGATGAATAATTTACGTTAAAAACAAATAGTAAAAAAATTTAAATCAAAATTGACAAAACTAAACTCTCACTTATTTTGTTAAGAATTTTTTTTTTTTTTTTTGGGTTGGTAATTGTTCCAAAACCAAAAACCCTTCTCAACCCATCAAACCAAACCCCCCAGACATTGGTCTCTTGGTAAAACACCACCGCCGGTGGTGCCCGTGTTTTTTGTGTGTGTAGAGGTCAGTTTGCAGATGGCTTTTAGAGGACGTGGCCGTGGAGGATACGGCCGTGGCGGTGGCGGCAGCTTTGGATATGCTAAGCAAGAGCCATTCCTTCTCTTTCCGGTAATTTAAGCCTCCCTCTCATTGTTGTCATCTCCAACCTCACTAATTTTGATTACAAATTCAAGTAAAAACTTTATTATTTATATGAATCACTCCTATGAACCTTAAGCATGAATTTGAGTAAAAAAGCTTAAGCAATTGGCAGAGTTGTGAATTTGGAATCTACAAAATGATCTAGAAAAGGTAAAACTCAATTTCATATATGTTTGAATCATGGGGTGGAGAGGTTTTTGAGTTTCTTTTTTTTACCCAAATTTAAATTTGATATAAGTTTAGTCAAGAATTGGAGATGCCCTCAGCTTGTTTATCACCCACATGGAATTATGATTATGATTCTACAGTACAAAATTTGAGTGAAAGCTTTTTTTATACGAACCACTCCAATAGACAAAAATAAATTTCATTTAAAGTTTCACTTATGGAAGAGTGATAAATTTGAGAGTCACAAAATAGTTTTGAAAATTTTAAGTAAACATTTGAGTTTCTCTTGATTTGGGTAAAAATTCAAATAAAACTCAATTTGGTATAAGTTTGGGTCAGAGAGTGGATCGTGTTTTGAGTGATTTTTACCCAAAATTTAAAATTTGATATAAGTTTGAGTCAAGGGCATTTGCAACCCTTACTCAAATCTTGACTCAACTTAAACTTGAGTAAAAAGTTACTAAAATAAAATCCCTTCCACTTCTTTACCCAAACCTATACCAAATTGAGTTTTACTCAAATTTGGACTCAAATCAAGGGGGACTCATTTCCTTTACTCAAATTTCTATCCAATCAAAAATGGACCCAGGTGATTTTACCAAAATTTTCAAATTAACCTTTACTCCAACCCCTAGCATCCACTCAAAACTTAGCACTTGGCAATTTTACTCAAATTTGAGTTTATTCGGTGGAGTGCTTCATATTAGTTGAAGTTTTTTACTCAAACTTCTACTCAATTTGAGTAAAAGTACAAGTATAGGTTGGAGATGGCCTTTACTCAAATTTTAAAAGCTTTATTTGATACGAAGCACTACAAGTGGACAAACTCATATTTAAGCTAAATTTGAGCAAAAACTTCACTAATGGCAGAGTGGTAAATTTGAAAGCCACAAAATAAAATAGTCTTAAAAAATTTGAGTAAAAATTTTAGTCTCCCTTTATTTGAGTAAAAAAATGGGTAAAACTCAATTTGATATGAGTTTGAGTAAAGGAGTGGAGAGGGTTTTGGGAGGTTTTTTAACTCAAATTTAAATTTGATATGGGCAAAGGTAAAGGCTGGAGATGCCCTTATGTGTATTATCAGAATTAAAAAGAATTTGGAAACTCAATGTGAACTTGACCATTTTGTTTTTTTTTACTTTTTGAAACCTAACTATTTTGTTTTCTTTTGTTTTTTTTGAAACCTAGCTTTAACAATACCACCTTGAATTTTTGAAACCTAACTATTTTATGTGTATTATCAGAATTAAAAAGAATTTGGAAACTCAATGTGAACTTGACCATTTTGTTTTCTTTTACTTTTATAATATTCGTTTTTATTGCTTCAATCTACAGTTTTCTCTGGCCTTGCTCTTTTCCTTAAAAAATATTGCAAAAAATCTGACCATAAATCTGTTAATGATACCCCTGCCACTTGTGAAATTTGTCTAAACTAGAATGTTGGTGCTCAATGGAAACATTTGATAATTGCATCTGATTTTAGTATTTTTCAACATGCTTTTATATAGGCTGTCTCATTAGGGTTTTGATGTAGCTGACTGTTATAGAATTACAAGTCTTGTTGGTTGCTAGAGATAATCTCCAGGTTTGTACCAGCGGAGGATTGTTGTTAAACTTTTACTATATTTATCTTCTTCTTTTTTTGTTTTGTTTTATTTTTTTTAATAAAATGTTTTGCACTGAGCAAAAAAAGAAGCCCAAAAACTTGACTGCCGTACTGCAATTAAATTCTTAATGCATGATAGAAATAGGTGAATCGATGAAAAAGTGGGGTTCTCTCTTTCACTGAGTTGGAAAAGAGTGGGGAAATTTCTTTAAAATGGAACAGGGGGCAGGGTTCATGTCCTTCCGTTTGGCCTCCAAACCACAACAGCATTGTTGGTGTCAGACAAGGTTGATTGAGTGGCTTTACAGGATAAGTTTTGGTTAACCAACCAAAGTGGTCATTATATGCTTTGGAGGATGGTCATTATTCTTGCTGATAGATGTTGGCATATTATGTATTTGTTTGTCTTTTTATTGTTCTATTAACACAATGTGGCCTGTCTTTAGCCTGCTATTGTTGTTATGCAAATTAATTTTTCTGAGTAATTGCAGGAAATTGAAAACTTGCCTGATGCCAAAAGCGTGACTGAAGAAATGGCCTTAGTGCTTCGGAGTTCAAGATTGCAAAAATTTTGGAATTCCTCTGTTTATTATCTCAAGGATGAAGGCCAAAAGGGTAAGCTTTCAATAGTTTGAAGTTTTTTACACATCAGACTATAAAAAGTAAACTACCCATAATTTAATCGCCATTGGATGGGTGTCTGGGAGGGGTAGATTGGGTATAGACCTAACCTTTGGCATTATTTGCACAAAGTGGTTGCCCTCAACTTCGAACCCACAACCTCAATGCGGGCCATACTTTTGATAGTTAAAAGATGATGTGATGGATTATTTTAGAATATTTGTTTGTTGATAACTGATAAATGACATCATTTGCAAATAATGGGCCCTTGGCCATAGAGCATTTGTAAAAATTAGAAAATTTTGAGACCTTGGCTTGCACCTATAATGGTATTTTTTATAACACGAGAAAAAGAAGAACAAAATCACATGTGAGGAAATAGTGCTAATATTGGGGAAGGATTTAGCTTTCTTCTTATTCTTTTTTATATTTTATTATATATATATATATGGTAAGTGCAAAAGAAAATTATATGTTCTCAATAGTAACACTTGCGTTTATCGTGTTTCATGGTTTTGTGAGAATATGCCTATATTCAGCGTTCTCCTTTTTCCTTTTAGGATTAGGACTTAGTGTTCTACATTTATTAGATGTTTTATATCTATTGGAATTCTATATCAGTGATGTATTAGTTTAGGATTAGGAATTAGTGTTCTATATGTATTCTTTGTTCAATTAATTCAATCTAATATACAGTTTCATTTAGAAAACTTACATGGTATCAGAGCTAGGTTCGAAACCCTGGTTGCTTCGCTTGTCACCATCATGGTTCGCTGGTCAAAGGGTCATCGATCTTGACCCCTCATTTGTTCTTTTGGTTCGTGATCAGCACTAAGTGGTGACATTCTGGTTTGTCTGGGTCATCACCATCAGCCCTCTCTGGTTTCGATTGGTTTGTCACCATCGGAGTCATGACTTTTCTCTCTCCAGACTCGCGAAGGTTCAAAACCCTAGCCCTCTCTGGTTTGTCTTGTTTGTCTTGCGAAGACCTCTCTCTTTCTCGCGATCTCTGTCTAATTCGCAGCTATCTACTTCGGCTTTAGATTCTCAGCTTCAGTCTCAGTCTCAGTCTCAGTCCCTCTCTCTCTCTCTCTCTGCTTCAACTTGGGTATTTCTATTTAAACCCTATTTCAGGATTATTGCACTAAAGCCCCATACTTGTCTTTTTATTACAAACTTTGTTTTATTACAATGTCAGATATTAAAATCTAAGCCATCAAATGTAAACTCACTGGTGGCAATTATGCCTGTTAGGCCAGTGCTATGAAGAATTTTCTTCTTGGTTTAAAAAAAAATAGGGTTATGTTTTTTGTTCTGTTCCTTGTCCATCGGACTCGAAGGCAGAAGGGTATCTGTCTTCCTGTGACACTTGGGATTGTGATAATACTCAAGTTCTGACCTGGTTTCATAATTCTGTGGATGACCGTATTTGAATGATGTTTTCCAAGTACAGTACTGCCAAGGAGGTGTGGGATTATTTACTAGGTGTTTATCAGCAGTCTAACTTTGCCAAGCGATATGAGTTGGAAACAGCTATTCAGAGTGTTCGTCAGTTGGATCAAACTATTCCAGACTCCTATATTGAGATGACCGGTCTCTGGGATCAGTTGGCTCTTATGGAACCACCTAGTCTAAGATATTGGACGCTTATATTGAGTTTCGGGAGTAAGGTCGTTTAGTGCAGTTCTTCACGGCTTTCTCCCCTCAGTATGAGGCTATCAATGGTGGCATCCTTCATTAGTCTCCTTTTTTTTCTGTGGATTCTATTGTTCGTGAGCTCCTCTCCGCGGAAACTCGTCTTAAGACGGCCAATCAGACTCTGTCTCCATCTGTCTTCTTGGCTCCTACTCAACCTCCTCTGTTGTCGGCTCCATCACCTCATCAGCTTCAGGATCATGCGAAGCCCAAGAAGGGGCCACTAGCCTCTGATGAGTGTGCTTTTTGCCATCAGAAGGGCCATTGGAAGTACAACTATCCCAAGAAGGGACGTCAATCTGTTCAGTCTTCTCAGCCACCTTAGACATAATTTCGACCTCCTGCTGCTTATACTGCATCTACTCTTGCTTCTGATCCTAACTTGGCTTCCTTGCTTGCCCAGATGGCTCAGCTTCAACATCTCCTATCTACCTCCCAGCCATCCTCATCTGCCTCTGCTCTCACCTCTCTTCATTCAGGTTTGTTTAAGTCCGCTTCAGGTATCTCCTCTTCTATCTAGCTTTTTGATTCTGGTACCTCTCATAATATGACTCCTCACATTTCCTTACTTCAAAACTATATTCCCCCACCCATTCCTATTACTATTAATGCTGCTAATGGGCCTGGTATGTTTGTTCTGTCTATTAGGTCTATCTTACCCTCTGCCATGTCTGCTATTACTATTCCTTCTGTTCTTTATGTCCGTCAATTATCTGTCAATTTATTATCTATCAGTCAACTTAATGCTATTTTTGATGTTATCTTTTCCTCTTCTATCTGTTGTGTGCAGGATCGGGTGTCCAAGAAGCAGATTGGGATCGGCCATAGAGTTGGAGATCTCTATATGGTCGAAAGCTTGCATTTCCCCTTATCCACCTCTCCAGCTGCACTTTCCTCGTTTCAGTTAGATTCTCAGTCAAGTCAGTTTTATTTATGGCATTCTTGCTTCGGTCATTTGTCTGTTGACCGCTTATGGTCTTTAGCTCAATCAGGGTTGTTGGGTAAAGTTTCTCTTAGTTAAATTGATGAATGTCGAGGGTGTAAACTTGCTAAAATGTCAGCTTTACTATTTAATAAAAGTACATCTATTTCTATTTCTCCTTTTTCTCTTGTGCATACTAATGTCTAAGGACACTCTCCTGTTCTTACTAAAGGGGATTCTGCATACTATATGTCTTTTATTGATGATTGCACCCGTTATATGTGGGTTTATCTTATGACCTATAAGTCTGACTTCTACTAGATATACCGTACTTTCTAGTCTATGATCACTAAACAAGTTGGGTCTATTATTAAATTGTTGCTGTCTGACTTTGGTGGGGAATACTTTAAAATTGAATTCGTGGATATTTGGCCAAATTGGGTACCATTCACCAAGCTTCTCATACTAATACACCTGCCCAAAATGGTCGAGCTGAGCGTAAACATCGTCATCTCCTTGAAACAGCTAGGTCTCTTCTTCTCTCTGCCTCCGTTCCGGCTTCGTTTTGGGGTGAGGCAGTTCTTATTTCTACTTTTCTTCTCAACCGTATGCCTACCCCTCTTCTTTCTGGTCGGTCTCCTTATACGCTCTGTTTTCTCAACTTCCTAATTACTCCCTCTGTGTGTTTGGGTCTGCTTGTTTTGTCCTTTTACCCCGTAAAGATAGGACCAAACTAGTGCCCGGTCTGTCCTATGTGTCTTTTTGGGTTAGTCTCGCTCAGAAAGGTTATCGCTGTTATGATCCTGTTTCCCGTCGCCTTTATATCTCTCGCCATTTTGCCTTTCTCGAAGGTCTATCTTACTTTTAGCTTCCTCCTCTCACCGCCCCAGTTTCCAAAGAGGATTTGGTTCATATTGATCTATTTTCTTCTAAGGTCCCATCTGATGAGTACATCTCTACAGTTCCTCCTAAGCTTGTTCCATCTTCTCCTCCTGCTTCACCTCTGGCTGCTTCTCCTTTGGCTTCTTCTCCTCCTCCGTTGTTAGTTTATTCTTGTTGCAAGGCTCCTCCTCCACCAATTGTCTCTGCCCCTGCTGTTGATCCTCTTACTTTTGATGACTCTGATCCTGCTGCACACCGATATCCTCCTCAAGCACGTCATTCTCCAAACAGGTTGGGTTGGTCTAATACTTGTTTTTCTACTTCTTATTGTACCTTTTTGTCTACTATTCACTCTTTTGTAAAAATCTCAGTCTTACAAGGAGGCCTGTTAGGATCCTCATTGGGTTCATGCTATAGAGGATGAGTTGTTTGCTCTACAGAAAACTAGTACTTGAGAGTTGGTTCCTTTGCCTGCTAGTAAGAATCTAGTTAGTTGCAAATGGGTTTACAAAGTCAAGACTCATTCTGATGGTTCTCTTGAGCGCTACAAAGTTCGTCTGGTTGCCAAGGGTTTCTCTGAAGAGTATGGTATTGATTATGAGGAGACGTTTGCTCCTGTTGCCAAGATGACTATTGTCTGTACTTTGATCTCTGTCGCTACTATTCGTTCTTGGCCTTTTTATCAGATAGATATTAAGAATGTTTTTCTTAATGGCAATCTTACTGAGGAGGTTTACATGCGTCCTCCCCCTAGTATTCACCATTCCTCTAGCTAGGTTTGTCGTCTTCGGCGTGCTCTGTATAGTCTGAAGCAGTCTCCTCGTGCTTGGTATGATGGCTTTCAGACGGTTGTTACCGAGCTTGAGTTTCGTCCTTCTAATTCCGACTCTACTTTATTTCTGAGATATACCTCGGCTGATTTTGTTGCTCTCTTACTATATGTGGATGATATGATCATCACTGACTCTGACTCTTCTGCTATCTCTGAGGTCAGGCAACATTTCTTCCGCACCTTCGAAATGAAGGATCTGGGACCATTGTGGTATTTTCTTGGTATTGAGGTGGCTTCTTCACCCAAGGTTTACTTTTTGTCCCAGGCTAAGTATGCCAACGAAGTTATCCATCGTGCTGGACTTATTAACACTAAGCTTTTTGATACCCCCATTGAGCTTAATGTGAAGCTCAACATTACTAATGGTGTTCCTTTGGACGATCCTACGTTATATCGCGAGCTTGTGAGTTGCTTAGTCTATCTGACAGTTACTCGCCCTGGTCTTGCCTATGCTGTCCATGTGGTTAGTCAGTTTGTTTTTGCCCCTCGCTCTACACATTGGGCTGCTTTGCTTCGGATCCTTCGCTATCTTCAAAGTACTATATTTCAAGGCTTACTATTCTCTTCTACTTCTTTCTTAGATTTGGTGGCCTATGCTGATGCTGATGCTGATGCTGATTGGGCTGGTGATGTTAATGATCATAAATCTATTTCTGGTTTCTATATGTTTCTTAGCGATTCCCTGATTTCTTGGAAAAGCAAGAAACAAACTATTGTTGCCCGTTCTACTGCCGAAACTGAGTATCGTGCTATGGCTCATGCTACTGCCGAAATTATTTGGCTTCGTGGTCTCTTATCTGACTTGGGCGTCCCTCAATCTTCTCCGACCTCTCTCTATTGTGACAATCAAAGTGCTATTCAAATTGCTCATAACAATGTCTTCCATGAACGGACAAAACACATTGAGATTGATTGACATTTTGTCCGTTAGCATCTGCAGTCTGGTTTTATCTCGCTTCCTTTTGTCTCTTCGACTCTGCAACTTGTTGACTTCTTCACCAAGACTCACCACTGCTCGGTTTTGGTTTTTCCTTGACAAACTCTTAGTATTTTCTGCTAAAATAGCTTGAGTTTGAGCGGGGGTGTGAGAATATTCCTATATTCAGTGTTCTCCTTTTTCCTTTTAGGATTAGGACTTAGTGTTCTATATCTATTAGATGTTCTATATCTATTGGAATTTGTAGAAATTTAATGTATAAAGAGAAATAGAGAATTGTATTATTGATTGATTTATATTGATATCTATTACAATGATTCATGATTCCTATATATAGAAGAGGGTGAGTGTGTAGTAGGTAAGGAGTAGGTGAAGTGGAGGTGGTAGTGGTGTAGTGGGTTAGGTTTAGTGGAGTAGGTGAGGTGGTAGTGGTGTAGTGGGTTAGGTTTAGTGGAGTAGGTTTAAGTGGGTCTAACTACTTTTAGCTTCCTCTTGTCCTTGTTCCTTCAACTTGAATCAAATCACTCTTCACTACTGAGAAGCTAAGGGTAATGTGACTAGTGTCAATTGAGAATTATATGAGACCAAGTTATCTAGGAAGGTTTGGACATGTACAAGGTGGACTAATGATTTTACTAATAAAGAGGCCATGTTAAAAGTGTTTAAGCGAATAAATCAAATACAATACAACAGAGATAAAAACCATTGCATGCATTTACCAAGATACACATCCAAGAAAGAAACTTTGTTACATCATCTCCAGCATATGTTGGGCTCAGTTCTAGATTAATAATGCAACGGCACTGTACAAGGAAAATCAATGTGAAAACATAATCAAGAAAACCATATATACTTGAATACCTGCTCCTGTGAACGGAAATACATGAAGGGTGTATAATGAAGAAAATTTGAGACCCTTGAGGTATAAATATCAGCATACCTGTAATTTAATGGAATTAAAAATTAAAAAAAAAAACTATTCCAAAAAAGAACATTCAAAATTGTATTCCAACTACAGCTACCACCACGGTTGGAATACCAGATGTTATAAAATGAACCAAAAATATTAAAACAGTAGCACATACTTCTCAATTTGTCTCATTAAATGGCTTTTGTCCCATAGGCCTGCACGTGAAAGAAAACCCCACCTAACACAAAAGGGGGTCAGCGGATCAACTCCAAGTACAAATTCATCAAACTGCATACACACACTAGCACAGCGATAGAGGGAGACAGAGACAGGAACAAACTAACCAATAACAAATGCTGTCACCACTATTCCTCATTTTATTTCGTATTATTATTTTTACCATCGACGATAGCTAAATAAATTTGGAGCCTCGAAGCGAAGGAAGACAGATTTGGAGCCTTGAAGGTCCCAAGTTATTTTCTCATTTATTCTCAGCAACTAAATAAAGGATTAAGAACTTAAAATAAATATTTTCACATTAGCCCTATCAAAACTTGTCATTTTCTAGGTACATAACTTAACTCCAATGCTAATTTTGCAACATAGATTCAACAAATGCTCATTTCAACAAGTTAATTTTTAGGGTAAATTACAAATACACTCCCTGAGATTTAATTAAAATACGAATCGCCCTCTGTGGTTTTGTAAAATATATTCCACCTCCTGAGATTTCTAATTTCATAACAAATCGCCCTTTTTATTAATAAATCATCAAGTCAATTACCAGTTTTTAATGATGTTAAAAATATGTTTCAATTAATAATTTAGGTAATTTTATTATTGTATAGGAAAGCAATTACAAATTTCATTTTTTTTAGTTAATTTTGTTAAATAAAAAATTCTAACAAGGGGGTATTTGTAATTTTCCAAATCACAGGGGACAATATGTAACTCTGCCGGGGTTGTTAACAACTCCGCCGGTCCCAAGCCCGGGTTAAGAAGGAGGGTTGTGTGTTAGGTAGCCGACAGCCAACACGTAAAAAAGCCGCTCGGATCCCTTATGAAAATGAATCCTACTTTGAATCGTTTAAATGCTAGGTCGTTCCCCTCAAGTGACGCGTTGCGCCTGCCTCCGGGTGTTTCGAAAAGTGAGCAAGGGGCGCCGCATCGACGCCTGGGTGCGGTGAAAAATGGGCAAAGGTTTCCGCGTTTTTCTGGACGAGCGCGGGTAAAGAAGCTAGTCCAAGACTATAGGTTTAGGATAGCCACTTGGAACATAGGAACCTTAACTGGTAGGACGATGGAATTAGTAGATGTTATGATTAGGAGGAGAGTTAGTATAGCGT